GATGGAGAAGACACATCTTGTCTGTTGGAGAGGAATTCTTTGCAAGTGAGCACCGACTCGAGCAAATTTGATTTATATCTGACCTTCTACTAAAAGGATACTAGTAGCACCCTATGAAGAAAGAGACTCTTGGACATTGAATGTCATGATGCGGAACGGCGTCCTCTACCTCGAGGAACATTTGACTAACGATCAACTTCGGGAAAAGTATAGGTTGCCTGTTCTATCCCTCCCATAAGCTAAACCACGAATAGAGAATCCATGCCCGAAAGGCAAAGGCAACAAACATACTACGGGTATTGCCTTTCCTTGGTCAAATATTGTCACTGAATTGCCGCAATAGATACTCGTTTGAATCCTGGTGTACTTCAGATCAACCTCAGAGACATGACGGTGCACCTCAGTGGGGAGGAGATGTAAACACGAATGAACAATGGTGTTCTGTTGTCAAAGGGAAACTAGGAGATTTCAGGCTCGTCATGGGTGGTGAAGTAGATTGTGTACGAGGTATGCCTTATCTATATTGACGCTGCAAGAGTGCTCAAGTTATTAGATCGATACACCGGTCAACCAGATACCTATGTCGAGCTCAAAACGTCGATGACGATAAGACCAGGAGTAGTCTCTGACGAAAAGTCATTTGAAAAGTGTGTCATATATCCTATTCATGTCTCATCTCACCCCATATATTCTAGGAAACTGCTCAAGTTCTATTTCCAGTCCTTCCTCCTTGGTGTACCGGAGATCATAGTCGGCTTTCGTAATCCACGGGGTATACTACAAAACCTACAAACCTTCAAGACACTGGAAATCCCCAGGATGGTACGGGGGAAACCCGATGCATGGGACCCTAATTTATGCATAGCTTGGGGAAATACTTTCTTACGGCAACTCCGGCAGTGGATGGAAGACGCAGGGAATGAAGATAATGGGATTACTCGTGTAGGTCGCCTACGATTTACTCCTAGTGATGGCGTTACTTTTAGGATACTGGATAGAGAGAGTGTCGGGGAGGTTGAGAATGGAGAGGATAGAGTTGGTTTTCTGCCCACGTGGTATATGGAGCCAAATCCCGATTCAAAGCAAAACTAGTACCTCATGATTATAGTATCTGTCTTGGTTTATTATGTAGATGGCCTTCTATTTGATTTCACGCCGAAAGTTTTCACTAAGGTGTTCATGCATGTTTATCAGCTACAATGGTCAGTATATGGTTTTATTGAACCGTTACAAATGAAGTTCGGCTTGAATATGAGCGGTAGCGCGGTGATGAGATCCGGCTATGATGGTGCCGAATTCAGAAAACATCGACATCACCTGCTTCAATCAACCTTTGGGACTTGACCATCAACCTCAACCATCCATTATGACAGTCCAATCAAAACCGGTCCAACAACTTACG